CTTCAATACTCTGGTTAGAACCATACAAGCCTAGTTGGCTTTTTGTTAAAGGCTGCTCCTGATATCAAGTTCCAGCTAAACTACTATGTAAAACCATTCAAACCTCAATCCCTCTCTGTTTCAGTCTTTAGGGGTACCCTTACTCCAATTTCCCCGACATCTTACAATTTAGTATTGTCCATCTACCCTCCTCTCTGTAAGTTCTTGAGATATAACCTGCTGCAAATTCATTATAAAATTAAATGATATTTAACAGCTTTTTCTTAATGTTCGTGCATTTGGAGTGTCAGTATACTAATGAAAAACACCTGAAGCTGTGAGGAAAAAGAATTCAATCTGTGTCAATTACATGCAACTTGGAGTTCTTTCAAAAAGAAAAGAAAAGGAAGGGGAAAGGAAAAGGGAAAGAAAAGAAAAGAAAAAACAGACTGGGAAGACCTTTAACTAAATAAATGCAAAATGTGCTTAAAAACAGTTCCATGAAAGAAATGTCTTCTTTAAAGTTGAATTTTGAACAAGGTAAGATAACAATTAGGTGATGTATTTCCCTGCAGCGAGAGTAGTTAACTTCCCCCAAAGTGATCTCAATGATCATTATTTATTAATGAAAGGAAGAGGCAAATTGGTGAATTAAGTTGATCTAGAAGATGGTGGATGACACATACTAATGGAAATATTAATTGCTTTATAACTGAAATAAACAGGCTGGGTTGTGGTACACATCTCTATTCCACAGTGGAAAATGAGAAAGTTCCTCAAATGAATCTTGTCTCTCATGGGACAGATGGTATTTTTAAAAAAATGACAGTCTCCCTCTCAGATAAACAAACATAAAATAAAAGGAAAAGGAAGATAAATAAATAATGTGTGGATGTCTTTAGATGAGACTTTTACATGTTCTTTAAATAATTTTTGAAAATGTATCTTAAATCATTACATACAACTGCCTTTGCAGTGACAATATTCCAGTAAGGGCAGCATTTTGCTAAATGTAAAAGATTGCCATTTAGAACTCATACATATACATGTGTATATACAGATATATTAACACTATTTATATACATATATATCTAGAGGGCAACATTTCATTGCCTTTGAATATCTTGTATGTCCACTCCCACAATATATACTGGAGACATACTGTGTGAGTATATACGAAAGTATATGTACACATGCTCCAACATGTATATATACACTTTTGACTGTGTGTGCATAAGAGCTTAAAGGCACAATATATAGGGATGCAAGTTTTCTAGAGCTGCAGCTAAGTTAAAACAATGTTACAACTGTGAGAAAAGTCAAAAGGAAATATAGCAGATTTCATTACACAAGATTCATTAAACTAGTTCCATCATGAGTGAGATGGGTCAAGAGGCTTACATATGACTTTATACACTTTCCATTAAAATACAAATGGAAAATTTGTTATTAAACCTCAAAGCAAATCAAACTATTTAAGGTCAAGTAAGTGTGGGAATAAACCTAACACTAGTATTAGTCACAAAATCATAATTATGTGTTTCCAATTTAAGTAAACTATCCCAAAATTCTCTGGGTAAAACTCTCCAAATTATTTTAGTTTGAATGTTGGCATTTTGTTTGCTTTTAAGGACTACCTAACTTTCAAGATTAGTACCAAAAATATCATTAAAAGTTGTGGCAAATTTTCAGAGATAAAGATCTTTAAAAGAAACTAAGAAGTTAATGCCAAATGCTTCTAGATAGAAAGGACACTAACTGAGGGGGAAAAAACTCAATGCGGGATGGGGGGACTGTAGCTCAGAGGTAGAGCACTTCCCCAGCATGCACAAAGCCCTGGGTTCAAACCCCCCAGCACTGCAAAAAAAAAAAAAAAAACTAAGTCCCACAATAACGTGTGATTTATTTTAAGTGATGAGAGAATAACTAGTAGAAGGTAGCAGAGATGAAGAGTTGTGGAACTGGTGAGTGAGAACAGTTCCTTTATGATAGGCGTAAGTAAGATTATTGGATGCTTTGAAGATGTACTCTAGACTATCACCTCTTAGGGCTTAAAGAATAATCTACAATTCTCCATAGATGCATAATTTTGCTTAACAAAGGCTGTTTACCTATTACACACACACATTTTTTAGGGAAATATATGTATATAGCTTTATCTATACACACACATATACATACGTGTATATATAGATTTATACAAATGTATAAATAAACATAATACTTTTCAATCTTCCATTGACAAGGCAAGTTCACATTCAGCAAAGTGCCACCACATCCCATATACACATCTCTGTACAGATATACACAAAGGGGTGTTTTCACCCTTCAATCAGGGAGAATTTATTCTAGCAAATCCCATTAACCAGCAACTGAAGGGAGAAATGGCACCAATACAAACTCCCTTCTTTCATTTGCATGCATATGTACAAGAAATTGCAGATTTCTTAAAATCCAGAAGCATGAGTGAATGAAACTGGGAGGTGCTACAAAAATACAACATAAAAATACAACAAAAAAGAACAACATATAAAGCTTTCCTAGGTCTTGACTATATCTAAGATGAAATAAAGGAGGCCTCAAAGACAACTACAAAGTCAGATGTATTATCAGAAGTTGTTCTGACATATTTCAAAGTACATGATTTTTTATATTAAAAACAAATTGGAGCACTTAATAACTCTAATTTTGACTATTGTAGACCACCATAAACTCCAGTAAAAAATGTAGGACAAAATGTCAACTTAAAACTCAAAATACAGGAATGTTTTTTTAAATCAATAGTAGCATAATTTGGGAGCAGGGGCACTCTAATTTATTACTAATAGCACAACTGAATAACTTTTTAAAAAGTGTCTTGAAAATAACTGAAATCACACAGCTTTGAAATATGCACGGTCAAACAATCCCTTCAACTCCTTAAACAAAGCAGCCCCTTCAAAACACTCTTTATAAAATGTCTATAAGGTTTCTTTAACTTTACCAACATCATCAATAATATTTTATTACTCAGAATATGAAGTTATTATTAACATAAAAAAGGTTCAACAGAACTCTGGTCCCATCACCCCAATAGATAAACAGCTCCTATCTGGGTCTGTCTGTCTGTCTGTCTCTCCCTCTCTTTGTTTTTATGCTCAAAAGTAAGAGGCTGGTCTTAGAACCTGCTATTTCTCATGTTACTTTAAAAGCATAGCATAAGTTAATCCAAAGGTTAATATAAAATGCACATGATATCAGAGCTAGCCTTTTAACATAAGAAGAATTTGGTGTACTCATATAACAGAGACAGTGAGAACGTAACTTTAAAACCCTCAACTAAATAAATCTTATTTCTACAATACATTCAGTTCCCTCTATCTTTACACAAGCACACATTCATCTCTCTCACACACGTGCCTCCAATATATATTTCTGCATGTGTGTAAAAACACGGACATATACATGCACACAAGTAATTTAATTCTATTTTTAAGTCACAGTGGGAATTCCTTAGTGAGGAGGGATAAAAAAAGTTCCTGAATAAGACATTGAGAACATCTATATTTATTATTTTCTCTATTTTTACTTCCCAACTTACAGAATAAACTGTAAATTAAAGAATAAATCCATAGGAAATAAAAGAGGTCTTAAAAACTTAGTTTACAAATTCCAGCTACAGTAGTTGGAGTTTTACTTGATCTATGTATTATTTACCCTGTAACTAAGCTTCTAGCCATCTTAAGTGTAAACCACAGATCATTTACTAAAGAGCATGATTCTCAACAGTTCTATGAACAATAATAAATGGTCTAAGGGTGTTCTACATTTTGAGGCCCCAGGATATCCTTTTATTTTATATACTGCAAGGTAGCAAAGGATAGCTATGCACCTTGACACGGCAGAGATCCAGTGTAAAAAGGTGCTTCACTAGTTTGTTTTGTCAAAAAAATTTAAAAAAAAAAAGCTCATATATAATTTTTTAGCTATTAAACACATAGGCAACATAATTCATTACACTCAATACAGCTTTAGTATAAAACTTATAATTTATGAGGTGATGTTAATAGCATAAATTAATATACCTTTTCTCTTAAAATCTACAATAAGTATTCTGAAAGCTCATTGGGAAGGAAATTTTTAAATAAAAGTTTTAAAGCTGTGCGTGATGGGAAAGGTTATGTATGCTGAAGCTGAGATGAGAGCCTGAAGTAGAAAGGAAAAGAGTCCTAGGCGAGATACCATGGGCTAAGAAACCAAATGTTTTCTCTTTCTTGCGCTCTCTTCAATGATGAGTCACCTTTAGTTTCTTTTAAAATTATTTTCTTATTTTAAAAACTGCCCTAATTTCCGCAAGGAATCCCTGAGACATACTCAATACTATATAGAAAAGGGCTTAATTACTTTGGGCGTCGGGTCCGGTTCCTCTTGATTTTTCTTGACTGCCTTGCCCCAATACACTCCAAACCTGCGTCAATTAGGTACAGTTCGACTCCGAGTGGGTTAGTTGTAAATGGTGGAAGGCTTTGACCCTTGTTGAATCCTATTGTTTTGCATCTGTCCCAGAAGGATTGTGTCTGTTTCCCAACTGTTGAAGGAAACAGACACAACCCGTTTCTGGACAGATGCAAACAATTGTCAACAAGGGTCAAGCCTCCACCATTTTTCACACTAACCCACTGGAGTCGCGACTGGTACCTTAATGACGCAGGTTTGGAGTTTTATGGGGCAAAGTAGTTCAAGAAAAATCAAATAGTTGTGGACTTTAGCCCGCATTGAAGCCTTCGCACTGCATGTTGAAAAATTTTCCATGGGAAATTTGGGGTGCAAATATAGAGCCATATCTTCAGTTGTCCCAGCCTTAAAAAAAAAAAAAAATGAAAGAAAGGGATTCTATTACTGTTTATCCAAGATCGGGTAGATCATGTGTGTGCACGTGCATTCAGTACTGGGGTGGGCAGGGGTGAGCAGGCAGAAGGGAGAAAAGGAAGCTGCTGCTAGAGTAGCTTGCCTGAAGAAGTCAACCAGATTTTTCTTTTAGAAAGAAGACTATTTTGCAGACAAAACTTTAGATTACTCAAAGATCTTTTTAGATCTGTTCTTTAAATTACCCAAACATTTCAGATATTTGAGAACACAGGGTAAATAAAGTCATTCCAAATTTACTCTCTCTCCCTGAAATGCCACGTCTTTTATTAGCTCTATATTACAGTGCAGAGGGGAACGCTAATCAAAACTAAGAGCTGGTGAACAAAAAAGAAAAGGATCCCTGTCTGACCTACAAAGAGACATAACTATTCTTGGAGGTTTTGTGTTTTCTTTCTTAACTCACTGTAGAAGGGAAAATGTTAAACAGATATCCATATAAGTTCTTCATTGATATCTTATTATAAATCTTTTGAAAGACTGCATTTAAAATGTTACTTTAATCTATTAAACATGATTTTGGTTCCCTCCAGAATATGATATAGGAAAGCTTAAAAAGATCAGACTACTAAATCATTAAATTGCTTTTCTAAAGCAGGCCAGTAAAGATTCCATTATTTCTAATTTACTGAGAGGGGGAAAAAAAAAAAATCTATGGTCATTCATGATATGTTCCTCATGAAATGTATTTTTAGACAGGAAAAAAAATCTTTAGATCAATGTAGGGATTAGTGGTGAAAGGAATTCACCACTGCTCAATGTGACTAAATTTTCTTTCAAGGAATCCTCTAAGTTGTCTCATTAAACTGGAGCGTTCTGTTAACTATTCAGCAAACCATTCTATTATTCTACATATACCAGATTAATAATAAAACTTAATAGAAATTTTAGAAAGGCTAAAAAGGATGAAGAAGCTGAAAAACTAGACACACCTAAGAAATTTTAAAGAATTTCAAACCTATTAAATAATTAGTGTATAAACATCCTCCTGGTTTTGCAATACCAACCCACAACATCCTTTTTGAACTAAGTTAGAGAAAAGGGACACAGCTGATGAAGTCCATCACCCATCACCACCCACCATGATGCCAGAGCACAGGAAGGAGGACAGGCAGGATCAATGAACTGACAGGAAGAGACTTACGTGTGTTCAAATTCTAATGTCAATTTATAAAAAGTCCAGGTTAAAGGTCAAAAGAAATGTAACTTCTTTCATGTAACTAGAAACTGTATGGACAGGGCACTGGTGCATAGCATAGATATGGTTTCCTTCCTAACCAAAGAATTGAGGACAAGCCTTGGTAAGGAAAAACCTTAGTGTTAAGTCATAGAAAATGATGATTCCTAACCTTCCAGTAAGATTGTTTCTTACTTAAGAAACAAATCTTATAAATAGTTATTTGGCAAAGATAAAATATTTTTTCTTTAGCCTTAAACCATAAAGAAGGTACTATCAATTTTAAGGAAAAACAAATCACTTTCCAACCTGATCTCCATACCTACTATTTGTTCCTCATTAAATTACAATCTTCTCACAGAGGGACGCTAGATGCACCACAATGCCTGTGAACATGAAATTGCTCAGGAAGTCATTTATAAAGCAGGAGTATTCCACAAGGTAGGTTTACTGGAGAAAATAATCTTTTGCTCTATAAGCTACGTGATGATAATCAGAAAATTTTTCCATTGCATAGTCTGTTAAGTGGTGGGTTAAGTGTAATTGCTATTTACTATCCTGAATTGTTTGCTAGCTACATAACCTACTCAGACGTGAAAATTGCTAAGCCATTTTTACAGAGGAAAAAACAATGTCTTAAGCACTTTCATTAAAATGGCATTAACAGTTGAAGGAGAGAAAGCCCATCTTTTTCTTCAGATGCTACAGATAACAGACCATGAATATCAGATCCTCAGAGCACAAAACGCATCTGTTTACTGCAGCAATTTTGAAAACTGAATCATGGTAACACAATCTAACTGGCCTTTACAAATGGTCCCAAAGAACTGCAGAAACAGTGAAATTTCCTTGTCACTGTTTCTCATGCATTGAGCACTAGAATAAAAAACTAGTTTCCACTAGTTGTAGGACCTTATATAAGATTTATTTTCAATTCCAGTATTGCCTTGCAATAAGTGCTATTTTAAAAGACAAATTTTTGTATTTCTGGAGTAAAAATATTTTATTCCTTTCTTTGCATATTAATAGCCCACTACTACTAATAGACTAAAATTGCTCCAATAACTAGAAGAAAAACATATGGATATCTCTGGGCTTATCTATGTTCTCCTCTCTTCCAACAAGGACTCACAAGAAACAGCAAGGTCAAAGCAAATTGCAAGCTTGGATAGCTGTCTTGAAGTGTGTTTTTGCTAATTATTCCACCCTATACTGGTACTTTCTAAGACTGCCCTTTGCTCAGCTATCATTATGGGCATTTAAACAAAAGGGAGTTTACTCAATGTTTTTGGTGTGAAGCTGTAACTGGCAACATTCCTGATCACTTCATGCCTCCTTACTAGAAAGCAGAGAAGGGCTTTTAAATGCACATAAAACAGAAAAATTGCAAACAATAAAATGTGCAACTTACTGCAAACTCAGTTTTGACAACTAAAGAATTTTAAGCAGCTAGCACTAAGAGACAAATAACCAGAAAAAGTTCAAATCGACTACCCAGGACTTTCCCTTAGCTGTCAAAGAAGAGTTGATGGGAAGTCCATGTGCTACTCTGCTACAACCTTTAATTAGTACACAATGGAGACAAAACAAAATCACTGGAAATGCAGTTATCTGGTGATGACTATAATGGGATGTGAAAACAGCTTAGCAAACGAAATGACACTTTGGAGCAGAGGAAACTACTCATCATCATTTCATTACAGTGCACTAAAATTAAAAAAGCTTACTGACATAGGTTCACAGGTGAGAAATGCTCAAATTATCTGTTCTCAGAATAGAGATTTATGGTGATACCAAATATAACTGCTTTGTGACATAATTTATAATTTAGAAATTTCTCAATCTGCAAAAAAGGCAAAGCTATTAAAAATAAATCTTCCAATTAATTAACATGATATTAAAAAAAGTAAATATATTACAAACATATTTTTGGACCCCCCCTGCAAAAAAAACGTCAATAAATACAAAATAGGGCATATCATGATTTCATACAGTCATGCGACACTTCCCTCCTTAATCTCAGGCACGTGATATCTGCATAATGCCTGCTGATCACCATCATTCCTTTAAAAAGCAGAGAAAGAAAAGCTTTCAAAAGAAGGGACTGGTTAGAACTAGCATGGCATAAAAAAATCACATAGAAGAAATACGAAAATACTTAACAAACCTTTACCTATTAGGAAGGAATTATGATCAAACAGTCCCTGACAAATGAATTACTGTACCACATCATTAATAGATATGTTCTCTTTACTTGTCTTTTAAAATATATATGTATGTAAATTGTACTTGACTCAGGTATGAACAGCCAATGGTGTCTTAAGGGACAGTGAAACCTCTCAGCAAAAGCAGAGTAGAAATGCCTTTAAAATCTAGCTCAACCTTTCTCATGGAGGGAAAGGCAAGCAAGAAGAAACTTCACATATCACTTCATAGTCACCAACCTACTAAACTACCCAACATGATTTTTAACCCTAAAATCCTGGTACTTTTAAGAGAATTTCCCAAAACTATTTCAAAATGTACTTAAACCTAAGTACTTAAATTACTTTAAAGTACCAAAGGTAAGTAAAATTTTTGTCAATTTCCATATTCTGCTTTGAAAGAAACTTTAAAATGTGTATCCTTCAGATATTACACATCACTTCACAACTGGCACACTGATTCTACAAGTATCTTCAACAGTTTACAAATCTTAACCAAAGAATCACTACTGTAAACATGAAAAAGCAAAAGCAAAAGGTGGACCAAGGAGCTCACAAATTTCATCTTTCAAACCTATCTGACCTATCCTGCTTTTTCACATCAAAATATTTTCTTCGATTACATCTTGCAAATGTGTTCCATGAGTGGGGGACTTAGGAAAAATGCATGTGTGAAAAGGCAAAGTGACTACCAGGCCCCGGAGCCTTGGCAGCTCTGCAGTCACTCCAAGCAAGCTTTTAAAGGCATTCCCCATCACTGACAAGGATGCAGCTTCCGTGTCTCGTCTCGTTTCTGTGTGGGCTTCCCTTTATCAGAACAGAGTTGTGCTAGTCACACAACCAGACCACCACCACCACCACCACACCCTCCCCCCATTCAGGAAACTTTAGTTTTCAATGGGAATGACAAACCTTACTAGGGTGTGAGATGTAGGAAAGGAGAAAAGAGCCTATGTTCATTCTGGGGGGGAAAGAACAAAGCAATGAAACAGCTACTTCCTGCACTGCACAAAACACACAATGGGAGCACACACACTCACAGGCGGTCAAAAGACAACTGTTTTCTTCTTAGTTAACCATATCACAATTAGGAATGGCATCCTGGCCTCACTGTGGTGTTTGGCAGTTGGTGCTAAGTCAGAGCTTTGACCTGCCTCGACACACCACCTGCTATCTCCTACACAGGAACTCAGTTAATAGGATCATTGTATCGAGAACCATCTATGGAAAAACCTGGCTATAGAATGGAAAGCACTGATCTGCACACTAGGAAATAGTAAAGGGCACTGGTAATCTGAGGTATCTTCCACTTCTAGGACTTCCTGCAAAAAAAATCAATCCTATCCAGTCACTGTGCTGAACCACCAAGAAAACTACCGGGCCAAGAGGACCTGCCAGGAGAAAATGAGCACCAGTGCTAAGGAGCACACGTGAACACTGAAGCGAGGTCCACTGCACGGCCACTTGTTGAACTGGAAGGGGGAGCCCCTCTAATCCCCATCCATCCTTTTTAAATCTTCTTTAGGAATAGGGTGGAGGGGTGAAAGAGGAAACAAAGATAGAAAACACGGGTTTCCCCACCTGCCTGCCAGCACAGGTCTGCTCATTTTGGGGAGGGGAAGGGAGGAGATGCATTATTGGTACTTGTAGCCGTGGCACCTGTTACTGTGAAGCCTGTAGGAGGGGCTATGGAGCTGTGGCTGGGCTGCAGGTCCTTAGGAATGCCACTGTGAGAACTCAGCTGGTGGCCAAAGGCTGCGCTGAACTGAGGGAGTTGCTGCTTGGGAGAGGTGGAGGCCATTAGTTCAGCAGAAGGCCCCATGCCACTGAAGCTGGTCTGTGGTAACCCCGGAAGCACGCTGGAGCTACTGGGGGTCACTGTGGCGAAGGCAGGCTGTGTGGTCTCTGAGTTCGATGTGGTGGGTGGCGTGGATAGGGAAGTGGAAAGAAGATGTCCATCTGCGCCAAGAAGGTTGCTAAATGGAGAGGGGTCTCCAAGGTTGACAGGGAGATTACCCCAGTGAGTTCTAGGGTTTACCACTCCTCCAAGTGGCACCTCAAGTTGGGTTGGGAGCAAATGCTGTGCCATGATGGGCATCTCTGCTGAAAAGGTAGCTGCCATATTATCACCAGAGTAAGATGTCGTATGGGGAGAGGTGATATGGTCACTGTAGGGAGACGGCACGTGCTCACTATCATAATGGCTTCCATGGGGTGAGGAGTGTGAATGATCACTGCTGTATTGCTGTCGGGAGGTGATTAGGTCATCTGCCTTGCTCAGCAGCTGGGCAGGAAGTGGCCTCTGGGAGGCATGGCTGCCATCATGAAGTCCATGAAACTGTCCTGGGAAGGCTCTCTCCCCAAGTGCACTCTGGCTGATCAGAGTGGCAGAAGTAAGGCCAACGCTGGCTGGGGCAGAGAACTGCCCCTGGATCTGCCCTGCCAGGGGTGTAGGTGGGTTAGACAAGGTAGCAGAACGGAGCAGGTTCTCGTCCAGCTCTAGGTTAGAAAAGTTATCATGTACTATACGCCCATTCAGTAGCTCCCCTAGGTCCGTGCTCACTTCTCGGCTCAAGGACTGGATTCCTGAAGCTCCAGTACCTGTGGAGAACACCCCCATTCCTCTGTCTGACAACTCCTGGACTGGCACACCATCTGACTGGGTAAGTACCCCAATGGTACTCAGGCACTCAAGAGAGGTTACAGCCTGCAAGGCCCGTTCAAGTTCCTCGGCCTCTTCAGTCGTCGGGAGGAGATCTCCATTCTTCCCTGGGTCAACAAAAGCAATCAAGAATCAGTACACCTCATGCTTGATCTAAATCACAAGAACCAGACATCTGAATTATTTTAAATATTCTATCAAAAGAGAGTCCCTCTTCTTTTTTTTGGTGGCACTTGGGTTTCAACTCAGGGACTCATGTTTGCTAGGCAGGCCTTCTACCACTTGAGCCACTCCACCAGTCATGTTTAGTGTTGGGTTTTTTCAAGATAGGGTCTCGAGAACTATTTGCTTAGGCTGGCTTCAAACCGCTATCTTCCTGATCTCTATCTCCAAAGTAGGATGGGCCTCAAAATGTGAACTGTCCTGGAGTTTGAGCCACAATCTTTAGTTTATTTACAATATTCTCAAAAACTGTCTTATAAACTATTAAATTCTTACAAAATCTAAGGATTACCAATTTAAAAATCATGGCAGCCATTTGATTATCCATGTTTGTACCTAAAATTATGTAGTCATTAAAGTAGAAAACAAAGGCTATGTATGTAGGATACATGTACCTTGCCTTGTCTACACCTAAGTTCTTCATGTTGGAAGTAAGCTGGGGAATGCTAGAACACAGATATTCATGTATACATTTTAGCACAAGAAACACTCCCTGTTGTGAGATATCTTTCAAAATGCTCTTGCCTATGCTGGGCACGAGTGGTTCACACCTGTGATCCTAGTTTCTTGGGAGGCAGAGATTGGGAGGATGTGGGCACAGTTCTCAGGACTCCTCAAGACTCCAACTCCAAAATAACCTAGGCAAAATAGACTAGAGGTGTGGCTCAAGCAGTAGAATCCCTGCTTTGCAAGCATGAAGCCCTGAGTTCAAACCAACCACAGTGACACACACACACACAAAACAACAAAAATGTTCATGCCTCACTCTCTAGTAACTTCCCCCTCATCCTAATTTACTTTTTTTTTTTTGGTGGTACTGGGGGTTTGAGCACAGGATCTATACCTTAAGCCACCCCGCCAGCCCTTTTTGTGATGGGTTTTTTAAGATATGGTCTCTCAACTATTTTTCTGGGCTCACTTGGAACTGAGATCCTCCTGATCTCTGCCTCCTGAATAGCTAAGATTACAGGCATGAGTCACTGGTGCCTGGCTCTAATTTACTAATTTATAATGGAAGCCCAGGAACCTACTTTGATTTCATTTCCAATATTTAAAATATATAGGGCTGGTGGAATAACTCAAATGGTTTAGTGCCTGCCTAGCAGGCATGAGGCCCTGAGTTCAAACCCCAGTACTGCCAAACAAACAAAAACCTATTATTAAGAATTTGATCAATCACATGCAGATATCCAATTTTTGGTAGTGAAAAAAATTCTAAAAAGTAAGATTTCCCCTGAAAGCACTGGGGAATTAATGAGTCTCAACAAACTCTGTTTTGGAAGAGCAAACTTTTAAGTATAGGGTAGGGTATTAAAATTAGGGCAAGTTCTAAAAGACCTCAATAAATAAATGTTTTAAATGTCTTTGTCAAAAAATAAACTGAAGTAAAATTACTCATTTTAAAGGAAAAAAGGAATCTGGAGGTGTGGCTCAAGCAGTAGAGTGCCTGCTTTGCAAGCACAAAGCCCAAAGTTCAACCCCAGTTCCACCCTTCTCCTGCCTGCCCCCCACCAAAAAAGTAGTGAAGAAGGGCTGAAGGAGTGCCTCAAGTGGTAGAGGACCTACCTCACAAGCATAAGGCCCTGAGTTTAAACCAATAAAGGCCCTGAGTATTGCCAAAAAAGGAAAGAACTTACAAATTTAGCTATTTACTAGGTCTATAATATAGTTAAACAAATTAAATATTTTTCACCTTCTGAAAAGGGTAAAATAACTTTATTGGTGTTACATTTTCTACTTACAGTGAAACAGGGGCAACATTTCAGATGCACTTCAAAAAACTACTTCCCAGGCCAGGTATGGGAGTACATGTCTATAATACCAGCATGTGGGAGGCTGAGGCAGAAGCATAGCAAGTTTGAGGCAAGACCTTATCTCAAAATCAAAACAACAAAAAAACCTCCAAAAACTTATTTCCCTTCTTCCAGCCAGTTTTCTTAATCAAAATATTAACCATACCTTCAAAAAAATCGAAATCTTGTAAGTCATCAGGTAGCCGTGGCAGGACATCTGAAAAGTCCTCCTGGTTCAGTTCCAAGTCATGTGGAATGTCGGTGATGTCATTGGCAATGTCATCCGGCAACTCATCGGCACTCAGCTCGGGCGTGGACGGGCTCCTGGAAGATAAAGAAGTTGGTTGCCAGACTCCCCTTTAACCTGTACTTCAATGTGGCCAAGACAAGTTCATGCAATATGAAAAGCTAATGTCCGTTAGGTTTCTATATTCAACACAAGCATAAGAAATCCTAACATAAAATGTCTCCTTCCCTACTTTGAGAAAGAAATGTAAAATTAAGAGATTGCCAAAAAGGCAGACCTCACTGTATGCAGTCACTTACTTCTGCAACAATCAAAACAAGACAATTATTACTAGATAATATTTTTACTTCAGATTAGTAGGATGAACCTCAATTTGATATATCAAGTGTGTTCTTAATGTTTTTCACAATTTCAGATCTAGTCAAATAATTTTTTTAAATGAGACAGATAAAATTAAAAAGCTTAGCTAAAACAGAAGCTTCATTCATGTGCTCAAAATGCCTGAGTCTGACAAAATTAATGCATCATTCCCGATGGAATATTTCTATTGGAGCACACTTCTGTTAAAACACAAAAAAAAGCCTGGAATGGTGGTTCACTGCTGTAATTCCAGAACCCACAGGCTGAAGTAGAAAGATTGGAAGTTTGAGACCAGCCTGGTATACCCAGTGAGTTCCATGCCAGCCTGGGCTACATAGTGAGATCGTGTCTCAAAACAAAACGGATTTTTAAAAAATTCACAAAAAACTGAAAGTATACATTTTCAGCATCTACTCTCTTTGCAATAATCAAAAAGCTTTGGCAAAATGTGTACCCCAAGTTCAGCCAGACAATGGTAACATTTGTATATGAAACTGTACAAAAAAAAGGTGGAGGAGACAGTGCCAGTCCTGGCCTGATATATTACATGGCTTTATGGGCTAATCCCAGCATTACAATCACTACACGAAGACAGATGTTCTGAGAACAATCAGAAAGCCAAAGGAAAAGCAAATCCGACACTCTTACTGACCGGATCTGGGAGGTCTCCACTGGCAGTGAGACGCTGGTGGGCATGCTGAGGTTCCCCTGGGGGACTGCAGGGGGAATGGGCTTTTGGGGCCGCCGAGGTCCACGCCTTCTCTTCTTCTTGTGTTTTTTGGTAAGTGCAGGAGGCTTGGTTTTTTTCCTGGGTTTCCTCTGCTGCTGGTGCTGAACTTTACGGGAGTTATCTCCTCTCAAGAAATTATCCTTTGGAATGAATAAGTAGTTTTTTTACAACTGAGATTATCCATTGGTCAACCTACCTCATCCCTCCTGCTTTGTGTGCACAGTAAGGTGATAATAGCAATAATCTTTTGTACCTTTCAAAAAACTAGAAGAAAGGATGTTAAGTTTTACCATAAAGAAATGATAAGTAGGCAGGGCACTGGGGGCTCACACACTAGCTACTCAGGAGATAGAGATCAGGAGAACTGCAGTTCAAAGCCAGCCTGGGCAAATAGTTTGAGAGGCCCTATCTCAAAAACAGGGCTGGTGAAGTGGCTCAAGGTGTAGGCCCTGACTTCAAACCCCAGCACCGGAAAAAAAAAAAAATGATAAATATTTGAGGAGACAGTTATGTTTAACCTGATTTAAATATTACACAATGTATAAACTATCCCATTAATATGTACAATTCTATAGTTTTATGTGCCAGATAAAATGAGTTTAAATATAAAAACATCAGATTATCTGGAAAAAACCTAACAGCTATCTAAAATATACTTACATGTCTTACTAGTCCATAAAATGCCTAAGACAGAATATATGTCTAAAACTCTGCACAATAATAAGTAGGTGGGTAAAAAAATAAATTTAACTCACGTCAATTCAACAGGGGTGTGTGTGTGTGTGTGTGTGTGTGTGTGTGTTTATCCTGCATTTATAGACATTATAAAGGCTGTGTGTATCTTGGTGACAGAGTGCTTGCCTAGCATGTGCAAGGCCCTGGGTTTAATCCCCAACACTGGAGAAGTAAAATAAAAAAGACATGGTGATAAACAATTTAATTTGTACTACCCAAGAATTTACACTCTTTTGGGGAAAACATGAATAAAAATAGACATAAATACAGTGCACAAAAAATTGAATAATGATATAAATACTTGTTATGGACACATAACAGGAAAATTAATTATTTTTAGTTTTGTAGGATTAAATGGGAAACAGGATTTTAAATGACGAGAGTAAGAGAGATCATTCTAGTAAAGGAGATGGCACAAATGACAAAAAGTAACTGAGTATGACTGTTCTTAGGGCGGAATGAGGGATAAAATACAAAAGTAAGCCATGAAGAACTTGGGACCAGAGCATGTGTAACTCTGGATATCCTGTTAAAAGGTTTTAAACTTTATTTACTACAGTGAGGAGTCATTTTTTATCAGAGCCTGATGAACATTTATTTTTAAAGCATTAACTGCCCTGGTAGCAGTGTAAAGGGGTAAGTAGAAGGGACAATCGACAAAGGTCATGGTTCCAATCATAGGGCTAAATTAACAGTCACTACAAGATAAACAGGGACAATGGGGGGTGGGAATAGAAAAGGCAAGGGTCTACCAAGACACAATTCTTTGTTTTGTGGTTTGTTTTTTTAAATTGTTCTGTTGCCAGGGATTGAACCTAGGACTTTGACATGCTAAGCACTTGCTGTACCACTGATCTACACCCCTAGTCCCTAGAGAGAACTCTAAAGATTTGACAGCTCCTTGAATGTGGTGAGGATGAAGGAAATACAAAACTCTAAAATGTCTCAAGGATTTCTAGTTTGGGTGCTTGTTAGATGAAATACCATTAATTATACAGAAAACACTGCAGAAGAAGCAGAGAAGTGAAGGAATTCAGTTTGGCTCATAGTTTGAGATCTGCAGATGTAAAGAAAACCATATCTAGTGAGCAAGAATAAATAAAGGGATGGAGATGCAGAATTGGAAATTCATGACAGAGTAAAAGAACTTAAAGTAATTTACAAAGGCAAGGAGATAAGAAAACAGAGGGGACAGTAAGGGCACAGCTGTATAAAACTGCTGTAGTTCTGTAAACAAAGGAAGGAGAGCAAATAATGAAGAATAAGAAACTGACAATTAGCCAGACAGCAGTGCCTCACACCTATAATCCTAGCTACTCAGGAGGCAGAGATCAGGAGGATCATGGTTTGAAACCAGACTACAAATAGATCAAGAGACTCTATCTCGAAAAAAACTATCACAAAAAAGGGCTGGTGGAGTGGCTCAAGGTGTAGGCCCTGAGATCAAACCCTAGTACTGCAAAGAAAAAAAGAAAAAAGATACTAACAATTCAACCAGCTTTCTGCAGCTAGTATCCTTAATTCTAACTACCACCTGTTATGTTCTGAATACTTATGTCAAGCCAAAGTGCTTGTATGTTAAGCTCCTAACTCCCAATATGTGTTAAAAGAGGCTCTTTTAATAGGTATAAAACAAAAATGTAGGAGATTGAGATCAGGAAGATCACAGTTCCAAGGCCACCCTGGAAAAAAATCTTTGCAAGACCCCATCTTTATGGGAAAAAGCTGAGGATGGTGGTACATGTCTGTTGTCCCAGCAATAGCAGCCGGAAGCATATAATAGGAGGACTGTGGTCCTGGCCAGCTTGGATGAAAAAACAAGACCCTATCTCCAAATTAACCAGAGCAAAAGAGCTGAAGGTGTGCCTCAAGATAGTAAACAAAAAACCTAGTAGTAGCAGGGAGGTAGAAGACTTGTTTGATGGCGTATTATGTGATAAGAAACTTGAATAAAATGAAGGAGTAAGCAACACAGAAATCTGGGAAAAGACATTCTAGGAAAAATTAAAAGTAACTGTAAAGTCCTGGGGATAGCAGCATATTTAAGAGTGTCCAAGAAACAGCACAAGGTCAATTTTATTGAAACCTGGGGATTAAGGAGGACACGAATAGGAGATGAAGCTGAAGAGGTGGCAAGGCTCAGATTGGAAAGTACCTCACAGGCCATGGTAAGAATTTTGATTCGATTCTGTATATGATGGGAAGTCATTAGAAAGGTGTGATCACTAGATTAAAATCATTAGATGTCTATTTTTAAAGACTTGCTCTACAGGCTGCATACTACATGAGTCCATCCATACAACATTCTAGACCACTCAAAGTTGCAGGCACTGCAACTAGATCAATGGGATGGAATAAAGGGCTGACTACAAGAGAATGTGGAGAGGAGAGGGGGGGTGGGACTATTCTGCAACTTGATTAGGGTGGTAGTTACACAACAACTGAGTGTCAGTTACAGAAGTGTGAATTTAATTCAAAGGAAGCAGAACACACACACATAGCCTACACCAGCTTCTACATGAACGTGCATATGTTAGGAGTGGGTATAGTAAGAAGATTACAATTCCAGGCAAAAATTACAGTAGTTTAGGCTAAGATAGTAACAGTAAAAGTGGTAAAATGTGTTTGGATGCAGGATATAATATGAGGACTGGAGACGTGGCTCAAGCAGTAGAGTGCCTGTTTTCCAAGCGCAAAGCCCTGAGGTCAAATCCCAGTTCCACAAAAAGAAGAAAAATAAATAAATAAAAGAGGATATAATATGAAAGTAGATCCAATAGATTTACAGTTTTTGTCTAACCTAGAGTAAGATTCTCACTGGGGTACTGATAGGGTACGAGTGTTTGTTATAGTCTCTTAAGTAATGTCTATCTTAAAACAAAGATAGTTCAGACCAATGTCAGAGAAAAAAATCATTTCTAAAATTTGTATTGCAAATGCTTTTCTAAAACCTGATGAATAATTATTTATTTATATACTTTAACTGTATGTCATTGTTTAAAATATGTATTATTTTCTTGTTTGCATAAGTAGAAATGTTTAACCAAATGAAAAGAATAAACTGCTTTGAATTTCTTGAAAAGTATTCACATAATGGCTATACAAATAAAAAACTACCCATTACATCATTAAGGCAGACTCTGAAGCGCAGTTTCCCTACTTTGATATATGCTGGAATGTAGAACTTTAATATACAGCTGAGATTCTGCAATGGTTTCAAACCTGCAGGGACCCCACTGCCAAAAGTCTGTGAAATCATCAATGAAGGGACACAAAAATTAGTTTGAAAGACAGAAATCATTCCTTACCTACTTCTCCTTAACCACTTACCCAATAACAAAAATGCCCATATTGTATATTTTTAATTAAAATGGGAAAATAAATCCAACTTTTGTATATATAGTTTAGTTTTTAAATTTTTCAAAACATATGATCCCACAAAAGAAACTAAACACAAAAGTTCTTGGTGAAGAAACCAGTGAATTATTTACATAGAAACAAAAGGCCAGAATGGCTGAGCCATCAATCCCTAGTTACTCACTGAACTGGTGGCAAAGCTAGAATCACAAACCCAATGCTGATCCCTTATCCTGATGCACCCATGAAACTGGAAAGCATTTATGGAGAGCAGGAAGTATCTTACTTGCCTTTTGGTACATAAGGCACCAAGCATAATAGCTTGCAATGACTGTCTGATGTGTGAAAATAAATAAACTTTGCTCCCCAATGCTGGGTCTTGCTTATGCTAGGCAAGGACTCTACCACTGAGCTACATCCCTAGCACCAAAATGAGCTTATTTTAAATAATATATAATTTACATATTATATATTATCTAAACATATAAAATACTGTTAAATGGTACAAATAATATAGTAATTCTGGTAGTTTACTAATTCAAACATGTCTCTCTTCCTAACTATTCTGAATTAATTAGAGTTTATGACACTAGCATTAAGTAAAGCAATAATTAAGCTCAACAAAATTATAGAAAGGCTTGGCATTTGGTCAAAATTTTATTAAATATTCAATATATTCACAGAACCATATGTAAGAAAGTAAAACCAATCAGATGCCCATGGCTCATGTCTGTAAATCCTAGCTATTCAGGAAGCAGAGATCAGAAAGACTGAGGGCAAACAGTTCACAAAACTCTATCTCAAAAACACCCATCACATACAGGAAAGAGTAGGAAATACTCTGGAGTTAGTAGGTATAGGTAAGAACTTTCTCAATGGAACCCCAACAGCACAGCAACTAAGAGATAGCATAGATAAATGGGACTTCATAAAACTAAAAAGCTTCTGCTCAACAAAAGAAATGGTCTCTAAACTGAAGAGACCACCCACAGAGTGGGAGAAAATATTGCCAGCTACACATCAGACAAAGGACTGATAACCAGAATATACAGGGAACTGAAAAAACTAAATTCTCCCAAAATTAATGAATAAAGAAATGGGTAAGGGAACTAAACAGAACTTTCTCAAAAGAAGAAATTCAAATGGCCTAAAAACACATGAAAAAATGCTCACCATCTCTAGCAATAAAGGAAATGCAAATTAAAACCACACTAAGATTCCACCTCACCCCTGTTAGAATAGCCATCATTAGCAACACCACCAACAGATGTTGGCGAGGATTCAGGGAAAAAGGAACCCTCTTACACTGTTGGTGGGAATGTAAACTAGTACAACCACTCTGGAAAAAAATTTGGAGGCTACTCAAAAAGCTAAACATTGATCTACCATTTGATCCAGCAATACCACTCTTGGGGATATACCCAAAAAGACTGTGACACAGGTTACTCCAGAGGCACCTGCACACCCATGTTTATTGCGGCACTATTCACAATAGCCAAATTATGGAAACAGCCAAGATGCCTCACTACTGATGAATGGATCAAGAAAATGTGGTATCCATACACAATGGAATTTTATGCAGCCATGAAGAACGAAATGTTATCATTCGCTGGTAAATGGATGGAACTGGAGAACATCATTCTGAGTGAGGTTAGCCTGGCCCAAAAGACCAAAAATCATATGTTCTCCCTCATATGCGGACATTAGATCAAGGGCAAACACAACAAGGGGATTGGACTTTGATCACAAGATAAAAGCGAGAGCACACAAGGGAGATATGAGGATAGGTAAGACACCTAAAAAATTAGATAGCATTTGTTGCCCTCAATGCAGAGAAACTAAAGCAGATACCTTAAAAGCAACTGAGGCCAATAGGAGAAGGGGACCAGGAACTAGAGAAAAGGTTAGATCAAAAAGAATTAACCTAGAAGGTAACACACATGCACAGGAAATTAATGTGTCAACTCCCTGTATAGCTATCCTTATCTCAACTAGCAAAAACCCTTGTTCCTTCCTATTATTGCTTATACTCTCTCTTCAACAAAATTAGAGATAAGGGCAAAATAGTTTCTGTCGGGTATTGAGAGGGTAGGGGTGGGGGGAGAGGGAGGGGGCAGGGGAGTAATGGAGGGGGTGGGGGGAGGCGGGAGAAATGACCCAGGCATTGTATGCACATATGAATAATAAAAGAAAGAAAGAAAATATATTGGGGTGGGAGAGGGGGGCAGAGAGGAGAAGTGACCCAAACAATGTACATACATGTGAATAAATGAGTAATAAAAAGAAAATATATTGGTTAAATAAAAAAAGGGTTGGTGGAATGGTTCAAGCAGTAAGAGTACCTGCCTAGCAAGCATGAGGCCAAGTTCAAACCCCAGTGCCACCAAAAAAAAAAAAAAAAAAGTAAAAACCTAGAGAAATAGGGCAAAGAAAGAGTTTGGGAAATCTGCTATATCTTAAGAAAAAGAGGGCTGGAGGTCTGGCTCAAGTGGTAGAGTGCCTGGCTAGCAAGCAGGAAGCCCCAAGTTCAAACCCCAGAATCACCATAAAAAGAAAGAAGAGCGGTCTAGAACAAGGACAGATTATCTTACCCAAGTAACAAGTTGCATATCCCTGACCTGAAATGCTTAAGGACCAGAAGTGTTACAGACTTTGGAGTTTACACATTTCTGAATATCTGATTAGAGTTCACCAGATGAGCATTTTTAATCTAGAAATCTGAAATCCCAAATCTGGAAGGCTCCAAAATCTGAAACTTTTTGAGCATCATACCACCTTGGAACGTTACAGATTTTGGATTTTTGGATTAAGGATGCTCAACCTATGCCAAATATCTTCCAAAACAGTAATATTTTGGGGGGGAGAGGGGTTTTTTTTGGTGGAACTGAGGTATGATCTCAGGGCCTCACACTTGCTAGGCAGGAGTGCTATCACTTGATCTACTCCACCAGCCCTCAGCTTTTTTTTTTTTATTTTTAATGAGGGTCTGAAATTAACTCAATGAGTTATCTGTAGCATTTAAAAAAGAGAGCACACTGAAATACTTCAGGTTCTAAAAACACTATTTTACAAGACTTGTTTCAGGGATTTACATATACCCATAGTTTGTATTATGTCACATGGTATCCCCACTGGGGAGAGCCATCAAAGGTTTACAATGCTGGGTTGGAGGTGTGGCTCCAGTGGAACAGCATGCCTATATATAACACAATCACAAAGTCCATAGTTCATATCCCAGTACTGCCAAAAAAAAGTTTGAAAGCCTGTACTGCAGAAAATAAAATCCAAACTTACCATTTTTTTGGCATGTTCTTCACACAGAGGTGTCTGGTGTGTAATGTCAAAAACTGGCACAGAGCACTGCTGCCCATCTGCAAACTTGGCGGTGCAACTAGAGAAGAGCTGCTGAGAGCGGTTCAAGAGGATATCTGGGTGTGTCAAGTCAAGAATAAAACACACTGTAACTCTCTATTCTTCAGCATCAGTATAAAAGTTGCCACTTTACTTATATTTCATGAGTATGAATTTTATTATCTATAAAAGCTAATGTACCGATCCAACTACTGATATGGGAAAACGATAACAGCTGAATTTATCATCATTATTTATTGGATGCAGATTTATACTTCTGCAGGAGTCTATTTTGCTAATGGACTCCTAAGGCAAGTCTCCATTATGGCCATTTTGAACCAATTTTGTTTATTTGGGGAAAATAAAAAATGCTGGAGGAATGGCTCAAGCAGTAAGAGTGCCTGCTTAGCAAGAGAGAGGCCCTAAGTTCAAAGCCTAGTGTCATTAGGGAAAAAATAATAATAATAATTTAAATATATAAAACACTATTTGTCCAAAGTTGAATTTTTCATTTCACATTTGTATCACCAAATTCAAGTTCACAACTATGAAGAAATTACTTTTACACCACAGCTTTATTTAAAATTGAATTGGCAGTTGTACCTCATCAATGTTGCTAAGAATTCACACTCTTAGCCACTGCATTTCCACAAGATTTGCCTTCTGGGCTGGAGCAGATCAGCAGAAAACCCTGTACTCAGCATGTGCGAGAACCTGGATTCAATTTCCAGTACCAAAAGAAATTACTTCCTATCTGTTATTTCCCTTTTTGGTTTATACTTACTTGTTTTTAAAGGGTGTCTGTATGTGTATTACTTGGGGTTTGAAACTTTACCACTTGAGCCATTCCCACAGTCTATTTTGCTCTGGTTTATTTTGGAGATTTAGTCTCTTGAACTATTTACATAGGCTGGCCTCAAACCTTGATCCTCCAGATCTCAGCCTTCCAAGTAGAGAGCATTTAGACACAAGCCACCAGAACGTGGCCCTGTTTGCAGTTATTTATAAAGCCATTACTATGTACAAACTGCTGCAGAAAAAACTGAAAATACAACTCAAAGAAAAGAAAGAAGGGCAAAACTCAGAGCACAGTAGCCAGGTATGCTAGTGTGCCTACAATCTCAGCTGCTGGAGGCTGACACAGGAAGACCCCTTCAGTCCATGAGTTTGAAACCAACCTCAACAGTATGGTTAAGATCCAGTTTCAAAAAAAAATAAAACAGCCAAGTACTGAGGTACACAGCTATAATCCCAACACCTGGGAGGTTAAATCAGGAGACTTCAGAGTTCAAGGCCAACCTGGGCTAAATAGCAACACTGTTTCAAACAAACAAAGCAAGCCCAGAGTGTGGAGAAAAATAATTACAAATATAGAAATTTTTAAAATGCTACTCGGTTTTAAATATTTAATTAAAGTGAGTGAGAGCACTAAGAGTTCATGGCTAGCCTAAAGCTCATTACATAGACTTTTCCTCAGGTATAGTATCTCAAGACACCTTCATCCCTAGCCAGCATTGTCTGTTACCTTTATTTTATTTCAAATCAGTAAAGTACTCACAATAAAAGGCAAATTAGTCTACAGCAATAGGCACACTATAAAACTATATGACTGTTTTAAATAATGTGATTTGAAGCTGGAGGCAGTGATGCATGCCCATAATCTCAGCACTGAGTAGTTGGGAGGCTGAGTCAGAAAGATTGCAAGTTCAAGGCCAGCCTGGTTTACAAAGCAAGACCCTGTCTCCAAAAAAAAAAAAAAGAAAAGCCAAGCACAGTGGCTAACACCTATAAGTAATCTAGTTCTGGCTATTTGGAAGGTGGAGACGAGGAGGATCATGGACTAAGGCCAGTCCCAGCAAAAAGTTTTTTGAGACCCCCCCAGCTCAATCAATAAAAGCTGTATATGGTAGCCAAGAGAGTTACCTGTCATCCTAGTTCTGTGGGACATATAAATAGAAGGACTGAAGTCCAAGAAAACCCAGGCATAGATGTGAGACCCTTCAAAAAATAAAGCAAAAAGGGCTCCGAGTGTGGCGCTACCTGCCTAGCAAGTGTGTGGCCCTGAATTCAAAGCATAGTACCACAAAAGAGAGAGAGAGAGAGAGAGAGAGAGAGAGAACATCACCATTTGATTTAAAAATGAAGTACAGCAATCTTCAGTGGTAGAGCACTTGCCTAGCATGCCCTGGGGACGGACGGACAGACACACACACACACACACACACACACACACACACACACACACACACACACACACACACACACACACACACACATGTACAGGCCCACATGAGTTAATATTTTTCCAGTGCCTGCTCAATTCAGTTAAAAGGATACGTTGGAAACAATGTCTGGTGAATGGAAGGACTTTGTTAGTGCATTGTTCACCCTTCACGGTCCCACTGCATGCTGCTGGCTCCACCTCCCTCAGCTTGGTCCGCCTGATGCTAAGGAAGGAAAAACACAAAATTCATGCTCTTTAAATACTCTAACAATCCAAGGTAATACTCTGGCACACCCATACTGTAACTATGTATAGTATCTACAGCTATTAAAATGCAAATGAGTTAAAAAAAGCAATTATTACAATTACCAAATGTGTTATTCTTCTGGTCTACCAACATTCAAAGAAACAACTATATCACAAACAGGTTATCAATATATCTGTTTTTGTTTTGTTTTGGTTTTGGTCTTTTCAGACACAGTCTTGCTATGTAGCTAAGACTGGCTTCATATTACTTTTGAACCTTTTTTTTTTTTTTTTTTTGCAGTACTGGAACTCAGGACCTATACCTTGAGCTATTTCAACAGCCCTTTTTTGTGATGAGTATTTTTGAGAGAAGGTCTGGCAAACTATCTGCCCAGGGATGGCTTCAAACCAAGACTCTCCTGATCTCTGCCTCCTGAATAGCTGGGATTACAGATGTGAGCCACTGGCACTTGGCCTACTTTTGAACTTATGATCCTTCTGCTTCAGCCTTCCAAGTGCTGGGATTACAGGCATGGGCCTCCACACCTGGCATGTTTTTGTTTTTCACATGATTTTTGGTATCTTTTTACTTTACAAAAAGGCAGTAAAGAAAAGTATGAAGAACATGAAGCTAGAGTCAGCCAGACCTGGTTCTGAATTTCATCTCTGCCTCTTACTTGCTGTGTGACAAGTTACTTAAGACTCACTCAGCCTCAACTTTCTCACTTGTAAAGTACAGCCAATAAGCATGTCAGCAGGCAGGATTGTTGTGAGCAGAAAGATGCAAGACACAAGACATAGTGCACATTCAATGGTAGCTACACCATTAGGAGGGAGGTGGTCCTCTAGGGCTGCTGAACAGTGAATCTGCAAAAAGCCTGGCTTTACAAATGGGACAGGGGACATTAGCAGAAATGGTCAAAATGTTCTCACCCTTCAAAATGTACTCACTTTGGACTTTCTTTTAAAAGTTTCTACTATGTGTACAACTCCACATTTCATTATTTAAATGCTATCTACATTTTCTTCAATTAATATTTAAATATTTTAACTTATTTTTAAATTCTGTAAATAGGCAATGCATTCACATTGCTCCAAAAATAACAGTAACAATTCTATAAAGCATTACAAACTATTAGGCCTTTACTCATGTCTGAGTGTGGAAAAACTTTTTTCCTTAATGCACTGAGTCACACTAAGGCACTGAAACTAAAAAAAAAATCTTAAAGCCAGGCACCAGTGGCTCACACCTGTAATCCTAACTGCTCAGGAGGCAGAGATCAGGAGGATCACAGTTCTAAACCAGCCCGGGCAAACAACTCACGAGATCCTATCTCAAAAAAACTCATCACAAAAAAAAGGGCTAGTGGAGTGGCTCAAGGTGAAGGCCCTGACTTCAAACCCAGTACTGTACCCCCCCACCAAAAAAAAAAGTCTTGAGCCATTTCTTCCATTTTCTAAGTTTCAATGAAATGACTTACACTAATTAGATGAAGGTCATCCTGAATCTAAATTCTGTATGAATTTACATAAAATCTAAATAAAACAATACTTCTTTTATAATTATTACTTTTATAGAAAAGCAATAATGCAAACAGATAATCCAGTGCTGTCATAGAATTTGCTTTATAAGAGCTCTGCAACATTCATGAGGGTCACAAAGGTGGGAAAGTAGTCATTACAGAATTAAATCATTTATATTCTAAATACTTTCATACTTTTACACTCTGACCCTAAAAAAATTTATCTTATAAATTTTTTATTAGGATATATTCATTATACAGGGGAGATTCATAGTGACAATTCTGATTAGATTTATATTGTACATTAGCTACATTGCCCCCACCGTCTTTCCTCCTCAACCCTGACCCCGCCTCTCTGCCCCTAAAAAACTGTTAACACTATTAACTTTATGGCCCTGCAAAAAGAAGACATAATTTCAACTACACAAATCTTTGCTATTTTGGCAGCTAAGCCCAAATGCTCTTGGTCTAGATTTTAACAGAATGCAGCTCTGTATCTTGATAGAACACTTTAATAACTTACTTGGCTATCCACTCAGCCTACTGTGCAACACAATTTGTTATTTTCTTTCTAGATTTTCCCAGAAATCACTGATTTCATTTTTAAAAATCACCTTATGTTCCAGTTTTCTAATCTATCTCTGAAAATAAATACAAAGTCAGAATTTCAATATCCTTACATATTTTATGTATATTATATGTTGCATATACAATATTATATTATATATAACATATATCTACATATATGTGTATATATATTGTTTTGCTTTGATGGGGGAGGGTAACTCGGGCTTAAACTCAGGACCTTGCACTTGCTAGACAGGTTCTCCACCATGCCTCCAGCCCTAGATGTATTTTATCATCCAAATAATTCCAACAAAATAAAAGGAATTAATAAAATTTATTTATTTATTTATTTATTTTTTGGGTTCTAGAGACAGGGTCTCGCTATGTATCCCAGCCTGACTCTTACCTCTGCCTCCCATGTGCTGAGATTACAGCAGTGTCCCAAACGCCCAGCCTTGACATTTTTTATACCAAAACCTCTTCCACCACTTGAGGAAGGCACCCAGCCACAGGCTTCCCTTTTGTATACCATAGTAACCCCCATAATCATGTTTCCTTACAAACAATACCCAAATAACTAGTCACTGTAGGATTGTGGGTTACCAGATATTCAGATTTAGGTTTATGTACTTTAAGCTATCTCATTGTCTTATTCTACTTAACAGTAAGAATGAGAAAGTTATTAGATAAGGAAGAATACCTTAACATTATTCAGCTTGCATACAAACTATATTTTAAAGGGCAGATATTTGAAGGTAGCTACTAAAGTTTTAATTTCTAAAATATTAATTTAAATGTCTATTGTAGGGGCTGGGAGCATAGCTCAAGTGGTAGAGTGCCTGCCTAGCAAGCACAAGGCCCTGAGTTCAAATCCTGATACCACCAAAAAAAAAGGTTAAATGTCTATTGTAGAAATAGGACTGATACTAAAAATATCAAATACACAGAGGTCATCATGCAACTAATAACTAATTTTTCGTGAACACGAAATACAATGTACTATATAATAAGCTACCAATGACCAAGGGAAAATTATGACACACTGTTATACAATTATAATAGAACTATTATTCTACTTAAATTTTTACCACCTAAGCTTCAAAATGGCAATATGCCAAAATTTCTGCATCAAAAAGTAGCTAACACATTTCCAATATACAGATTTTCATTCAATGGAATATTATGCACACATCATAAATCATGCTTTCAAGAAAAACCTTTAAGAACATAGGAAAAGATTGGGGGCATGGCTCAAGTGGTAGAGAACTTACCTAGCAAGCACAAGGCCCTGAACTCATTCCCAGCATCAAAAGAAAAAAAGAAAACTATAAGAGAATAGCTATGATAAATATTGGACACAGAACTTTCAGTTTTGTGATTTTTTTTTTTTTTTTAAGCAGGGTCTTGCTAAACCCCGGGCTGACTTCAAACTCACGACCCTACTGTCCCAGCCTCCCCAGTGCTGGGATTAATAACATGCACCACCATGCCTAGCTGACATGTGTTGGAACAGTATAGATCCAGTTTTGCTTGAATACATAAATGAAATAAAAAATGTGCTAAGGACTAACACTTGAATTACGTAGTCACTAAAAGTCACATTTTAGCACCAGTGGCTCATACCTATAGTCCTGGCTACTTGGGAGGATGAGATCAGGAAGATCTCAATTTAAGGTCAGCCCGAAGAAATGGTTTAAAGGACCCAATCTCCAAAATAACCAAAGCATAATGGACTAGAGGTGTGGCTCAAGCAGAAGAACACCTCCTATGCCAAGTATGAAGCCCTGAGTTCAAACCCCAGTCCCACCAAAAAGAAAAAAAAAAGGGCAGGTGTGGTGGTGCAAGCCTATAATTCTCACACTTAGAAGGCTGAGGCAGAAGGAACTCCAGTTCAAGGCCAGCTTAGACTACAAAATGAGTAAGACCCAGTCTCAAAAGTCATGATTTAGGGCTGGGGATGTGGCTCAAATGATTAAGCACCTACACACTGAGTTCAAACCCTAGTATGGCAAAAAAAAAAAAAAAAGTTAAAAGCCAGGCATGATGGCACATGCCTGTAATCTCAATACCTGAAAAGAAGCCTGAGGCAGGAGGCCAGCCTGAGCTACATTACAAGACTGTCTCAAAAATTAATATATAGGGTGGAGGACATGACTTAAGTGGTAAAGCACCTTCCTAATAAGCAAGTGAAAGACCCTGACTTCAAACCCCAGTACTGCCATAAATAAATAAAACAGAAGCGATTTTTTTTTCCCCAAAGAAATTCAATGTAACAAAATAAACAGATGATTTACGGGGTAATACACATATGAAAAGAAAAAACATGGAGGCCAGGCACAGTGGCTCAAGCCTGTAATCTTAGAAACTGGGGAGGCAGAGATCAGGAGGACTGCAGTTAGACGTCAGTCAGGACAAAAGTTTGTGAGATCCCCATCTCAAGCAATGGCTAAGTGTGGTGGCATGCCTACCATCCCAGCTATACAGGGAAGGATAAATGGGTGGATCTTGGCCGATGGCAGCCCAGGCATAAAGTAAGTCTTATCTCAGAAATAACTGGTGAGAGGCTCAAGTGGTAGGGCACCTGCTTAGCAAGCATGAGGCCTTGAGTTCAAGCCCCAGTATGTAATATAAGTAGACACCTATTTTAATTTAATACAAAAATAAAATATTTTTTAAAAAATTTTTCTGATTTAAAAGCTACAAATAAGCCAGGCACTGGTGGCTCAAGCCTGTAATCCTATCAGGAGGCAAAGATCAGGAGGATAGCGGTTCGAAACCAGCCCAGGCAAATGGTTTGTGAGACCCTTCACAAAAAACTGTCTGGTGGAATGGCTCAAGGTGAAGGTCCTGAGTTCAACCCCCAGGACTGCAAAAAAAAAAAACAACTACAAATGTTACTTCTAAATAGCATACACACAAATATTTTTTTGGCAGTGCTGAGGAATCAAACCCAGAGCCTTTGCATGCTAGGCAAGTGCTCTACCACTAAGCTATATCCCCAGCTCTAACAAAAAATTTTCCAGCATTGTCTTTTTCTTTTTTTTTTTTAAGACAGGTAACATTCTCAGCTGGGCATGGTGTTACATGGCTATAATCCCAGCACTTAGAAGGCTGTAGGAAGATCATGAGTTTAAGGCAAGCCTGGGCTACACTGAGACCCTGTCTCCAAAAAAAATGGCTGCTGGTAACATTCTCAAATCTTCAATGAATAAATTCTAATCCAACTGTAGCAAACACTCAGTAATGCTTTAATTTTACTGTTAGCTCGTGGCAGTCTTCTTTTTCCACCTGTATAGCACTTTTTCTAAGCAACAAAACCAAATACAACGCTCAACTATCTGGAGCTTAAGTGGTCATCTCACAGTGTGCCTCAATATCCTCTCAAAGAATCTGATAAATGCAAACTGACACAAGGCCCTGAGAAGTGGCTGCAGAGGGCTCCCACCTGGTCCGGCTGCATGCAGCTCTCCGAAGCTCCTGCATCAGCTGGCCGGTGCACTCAGGTTCCCTGCTGGCCGCCTGCAGCAGCGCCTTCCTAAACGTATGCCGGCATTTCTTTTGACGAGACTCTGCCCGCTCCAGGCGGCAGAGGTGCTTGTATTTCTGCTGAAAGTAAGTGCAAAGCTGGGTCACCCTGGAGCTCCTACTCTCCGCATCATCGTCACCTGACCTGGAAAGGGCAGGAAGAGGGTAAAGCACACATTAGAAAGGAGACAAGGATGAGGACGGTGGTTGCATGCACAGGTTTAAAGCTTCTGGGTGTGGGAGTACATACTCAATATGAGTGTAAGAGACTCTGACCCAATGAGCCAAAAATGAGTGCTGTACTTCAACTAAGAGCAAGGCAGCAGAGACGAGCCAGGGTTTTAGGAAGCTTAACTTTCCTAGCCTGTCACCATTAGATGCTTGGTGTACCAGGGCCTTCTAACTTTTAAACTGGTACAGATTCCTGGAGAGAAAGATCATTTCTACATCTCATTCAAAAGTCTGAGTAAATGATATGGCAGTCAGAGGAAAACACACATTATCCTTTCATAAAAGACAGGCGGGTCATTCCAGAGGCAAATCAGTAAGTTCTGACAATACTTACCTAAGAGCTGCCCCTTTCGACATTCTAGTTTTAACCACACTTTCCTAGCTAAACACTGTGATTGTACGGATTACGTTAACTTTGCTATTGTTTCTTTTGTTTGCACTATAAAGGCATCCTATAAGGAACTTTCACAGAGCACAGGTTGCACACAGGTTTTCCCATCACATGCTAATGTGATTTATTGGTGGTATCTGTTCAAGTATTAAGTAGAAAAGGTGTTGAGGGTACATCCAGACTAACAAGAAACAGGTTATGTATGGTTAGTTAGCATTTTGTACCATCAACAAAGTTAAATGTCCACTTTCCTATGAAACAAACATTCTCTCATTTTTTATTGCTAGGAATAATGTATATGACTTGAAAACTAACCCATGTTATCTTATCTTCTTCCTCTTCTATTAAAACATAAGCAAATATCACAAATGTGATACCACAGTCTATATATTAGCTTACTAATCTTCTGTAAATCATTGCCTGGTTTCTTTTTTCTAACATATTATTCCTCTCTCCTTCAGGATAGTCTATAGCAGACTACTCTGTAAACTTCCACTTAGAATCTCTCCTAGAAATATGTCCTTAAACACTATAACTGAAGGATTTTTTTTTTTTTTTTTTTGGTGGGACTGGGTTTGAACTCAGAGCTTCGAGTTTGCAAAGCAGATGCTCTACTGTTTGAGCCACACCTCCAGTCCATTTTGCTCTGGTTAGTTTGGAGATGGGGTCTCACTATTTGCCTGGGCTGACCTTGAACTGCAATCCTCCCAAGTGGCTAGGATTATAGGTGTAAGTCACTGGTGCCTGGTTAAACTGAAGGATCTTACTTCTTTCTTTTCATTTAGTCAAAACATCTACTATTGGGCTGGCAGAATGGCTCAAGTAGTATAGCGCCAACCTAGCAAACTTCAGTACTGCCAAAAAAAAAAAACCCCATCTACTATGTGTCTACTATGTTCAGCATTATAGGAAAGCAAAGTTTCAAAGATTTTGAAATACAATTTAGGCAAAATAAACACATTCCAAAATTAAATAATTCAAAACAGGATAGAATCTAAAAACAAAGGTTGTGGGAGGTAGGGGAGACAGATAGGCCAATGATTCAAATATCTAAATTCAAATTAGAAATACCTACAACCATTTTAAAATTTCAGATTCCCAGGACCTCCCCTAGAGTCTTTATGAGATGGGAATCTTTTTTGGGGGAGGTATGTGGGTTGAGTTTTTCAAGATAGGGTCTCACAAACTATTTGCCTGAGCTGGCTTTGAATCTCGATCCTCCTGATGTCTACCTCCTGAGTAGTTAGGATTACAGTCGTGAACCACTAGTGTCTGGCTTGGGGCTCAGGAATCTTTAGTTTGAATTGTTCCTCAAAGTCTCATAGCAGATCTACACTTGGGAGTTGTAACAGGGTCATTAAGCACTATAAATATTTTGAATACAAGGGGAAGTTCACTAGGATACCTGCTGGATGAAAGGCTCTGGAGAGGAGATGACAACAGAACTGAACCCTGAAGAAAGGGCAGAAGGTAAAGATGAGGGGAAAAAAGGATATATAAAATACTACAAGTCAAGATAAAGAGATAGAATTGCAAAATACAAGTATTGAGTAGCTTGGTTTGGCTAAGGTATGGTGTATATACAGGAGTGATGACAGGTAAACTTTCTAAACCTTAAGTGCCAGGCAAAATAGTTTAACCTTTATTCCACAGACAATGCAGAAATCTTTGTACATTTTAAAGAAGACAGGTAACAATTCTAGAGGTGTGCATGAAAAAGATCACACTGTCAGCAGATTAGCGAATAAACACAGGAAGAGAGGGAAGAGAGCAATTAGAAAACTATTAGCAAACTACAGGTAGGAGATAATATGGACTCATGCCAGGTAGAAGCAGCAGGAATGCAGAATGAGAGGCAATATGCATGTAGAAAAGACAGACTTTATCAACTGGGAAAGGAGCATGGAAAGGACAATAACTGCTCAGCAGTTTCCATCAGCAAAGACTAGGGAAGGACATTAGTACCATTTATAAAAAAGGAGTTACAGTAAGAATAGATAATAAATCCCATTTCAGACAAAAGGGATTTTCTTTTTTTCTGTTTTTTTCCTCACTGCTGGGATGGAACCCAGGCCTGGAACTTACTCTGCAAGTGCTCTACCACTGAGCTACAATCCAACCCCCAAAAAGGGAGCTATTCAAAAACTGTTAGAAAAGATAAACTGGAGTATACTTAAGGGAGAAAAACAGATTTTAGAGTTAACAACCGCAAACGAAAGACAAGGGAGTGATTAAAGAAAGAGCTCACTGAGATAACAAGAAGAAGAGTACATATAGGGACCATTATCAGGAAAGAATTCAATGGCAACTATATATGAAGAATAAGTCACAAATAACTCAACAGCCTTGAATCTGCACAACTAGGATAATGGAAGCACCATTAATAGAAAAGGAAAGAGGAGAAGAAGAAGAGATAAAGTCAAACTTAGGTAGATAATCACTTGTCAAAATTGTTATTTGAAAATGAGAATTTGGGCAGGATGGACTAGATAGTTCCTCTCAAGCTAACTGTGCAAGGACGTAATAGATGGCAAGGCACATTACATAATTATAAGTTTCTAAACCTTACTCATAATTTCCATACTTATTCTGTCACAGACTCATAATAAGCAGTTTGCTTCCTGGCACAGGCCCACAGACCATCACTAGCATGAACTTAATCAAGAAAATCAAGGTGCTTCCCACTAAGATCTGTGACATTAACATTTGAAAACTAGTTGCTGTGTACTCAGAGTGGTGAACTGGAGAGAGACCAGTTCCCAATCATTCACTATCAGTGACAGGGCCTGGCACCAAGGGCGTTGTATCACTAGTGTTCTTCAACTTTCCTCATCTGTGAGGTGAGAAATATAGCTAGTCTGCCTGTTTCCCACAGAGAAGAGAATGAAAATATCTGCGAAATCACAATAAGTACAGCTATTACTAGATAACAAAAGTTACTGAAAACCCAAATACCGAGCAACAAATTCCAAATTTGACATTCTATAATCTCAAGGCATAACATGAAATTTTCCAAATAAAATTCAAATTTCAAGACAACAAAATAGCAAAATAGTTACACCACTCATAAAAATAGGGAAATCAGAAAGAACTAAGAAAGTAATTTAATTCTAGAAATGCTGAATCCAAAGTAGTGACAGAATACTTGATGAAAAATATCAACAGGCAGATCAAACTAGAAAGAATGATCAGAAGCCAGAAGTGGTAGTGCACACCTGTCAGCACTCAGGAGGCAGAGGCAGGAAGATGAAGCGCTCAAGGCCAGCTTGGGCTACATAAAGAGACCCTGCCTCAAAAAACAGGAATAGTCAGACTGAAGAAAAGGCTTTGAGAGTTTTTCATATAGAGGTAATAGGTGAAACAACAACAGTTTAGAGTGCTTGCTTCAGCAGCACATATACTAAAATTGGAACGATACAGAGAAGATTAGCATGGCTCCTGCGCGAAGATAACATGCAAATTCGTGAAGCGTTCCATAAAAAAAAAAAAAAAAAAAAAAGTTTAGATACTCCAAGGGAACCTGCCACTCTAAAGCAACTACCACACTTGCTTGTTGTGTGCTACTCACCTATGGTTGCATCATTGGCCTCAAAAGAAGTGAAGGAAATTTCTTCCCAAACGGCTTGGTCAAAAAAAGAAATAAATAATAACAGAAATAACTCAGAACTGAAGCTAAAGTTGGACACAGGGAACAAAAGGAGGGAAATGGACTGCTATCAGGGCATTGGCTGAAACAAAGTGCTGATACAGTTTGGTTGTAAAAAAATGAAATAGCTGAAACTTAGATCCAGAAGTCCAGACCTACAAAGCGAAATGTATTATACAAATGAGGAAGTAAGCCACTTTGCATGACAAAAAGAAAAATTGAATAAATGACATATTTAGACTTGCGAGGACTCCAAAGGTTGGAATTATGAATATAAATTTGTTACGTATGAGATATATAAAGGATGGATTTGCAAAGATAAAAAAGCAATAAAAAAAAAAAAAAACTAACAAGAATGGTAAAGTAGACCAGAAAAGAAAATAAAGGGAACCCCTATAAATACAACATACAGATATGTGTTGGGGGGACTATACTAGGGTTTGAATTCAGGGGATTTGTGCTTTCTGGGCAGGTGCTCCGCCACTCAAACCATGCCTTCAGTCCTTAAGAAAAGTATTTTAAGTGAAAATTCCATATAAATTTTACCCCAAATCATGTCCATCTTCACTAGTTCTATTCAATATTTTACTGAAGATTGTAGTTGGTACAATTAGGCCAGATACAATAAAAAGGGAAGTAAAACTGCCATACTTGCAAATGACGTAATTGTTTACAAAGAAAATCATGACTGCAGTTGTGGCTCAAGTGGTAGAGCACCTGCTTTGCAAGTGCAAAGCCCTGAGTTAAAACCAGGTCCACCAAAAAAAAAAAAAAAAAATCAGGCACCTATGACTCATGCCTATAATCCAAACTACTTGGGAGGCTGAGATCAGGAAGACTGTAGTTTAAGGACAAATAGTTCACAAAACCCCATACC